GCCTTTCGGATGCCGTGTCGAACGAACACTATCTGATTCCTCACGCAGCGCGTTCAGCCCCGCCGTGTCCTCACCTAAAGAGTGTATCTTACACCGTCGTTTGGAGTAATAGTGTTCAAAGAATCCATGAAACGATTTTCGGACTTCCGGCCAAATAAGATGGCGTTAGGGGATTCCCCTGAACTCATACAATGTTTCCCGGGTCACGTGCGCATGACGCGCCGCAGGGTACGCGGCTTCCGGTCTTGCCCTCTCCTTAGCACTGTGGACGTTGCTACCAAATACATTACTAGAAGGAATACATTCCGCTCTGCTCATTTGCATTAGACAGAACGCCTACAGCGCCGAATCCAGCCCTGACGGAGTGGAGGTCCGCGTCAGTCCAAGCGCAAGTGCACGTGGATGTTCGCGGCGGCCGCGGCGGTGTCGACTTCGCGATTCCACCTAAAGCCCCTTCATGTTTGAAAAGTAGCGCAAGGTGCGTCGATGCACGAGGCACGTGGGACGTGCGACCCTTGGGAAGATCATGGCGGCAAAGCGCAGCAAAGTTTTTAGCACACCCCTACAGTGTACTAGAATACTTGGGTAGTGTTGGGACCGGAGCGGCTCGGCAACGGGAGCTCGTGAGGGCGCGTGTATTGACAGTTCGTGGCGGCGCTGTAGTCGAGTTATCCGGCTCGCGCAGCCCGCCTTTTTTTGTTTTTTTTTTTCTTTTTTTTTCTTTTTTCTTTTTGAGCGGTGCATGTATCGAAAGCTAGGAGCGCGAGCTCATAGCGTTGGCAGCTGCCCTTGGTGCACGGGAGCTCGTGCCGCCGAGATGTGCCCTAGAGCAAGGAGCTCGTGCTTGTAGCAGACATTCATATTAAAAATAGCGCAAAAGAGACGGGACAAAAAGACGAAGAAGCACACAGGACAAACGCTAACTGGCAACTAAACTTTATTGAAAGCTTCCAACTTTGCTATCGCCATGCACGTGCTTAGTCTCGTTCAACAGAGACAGGGCGTACCGCCAAATCCGCACAAACGGTTCTTGTAGCGGACGACGTTGCGTCGTCTGCTACCAGAACCGAAGAAAGGTGGATCATCTGTTACACGCTGTATGCTGCAAGTGAAACGATAGAAAAAAAAGTTGCATTGGGAACTTCTGCTATTTAACAAGGGGCACAATTGATGACCTGTGCTTTACTTGGAAGTGCCAATTCATTCTAAAGCGTCATATGCTTAGGTGCGAGGTATCATGTGGCCACAGAGCAGCCGCTTGCAGCCAATTTCGTTTTCTATACCAGGGCAAGTGTTCTTAACGGGATTCTCTCCCATTCTTAGACGGTTGATAGTTAAAAAAAAGGCCGTCCTGAAAGCCCAGAAAATGGCAGTTCCAACAAGGGTACAGGCACCAAGCTAGGCCTAATAGGCACGGACCTATATATCAGATTTTTAAACTGGTGCTTATCGCAGCCAAGCGTAGCGCGTCTCGCGTGCGTCGCCGACGAATCAGTATTGTTATTTCCTTTGATTGTCAAAAAACATCATAAAACTTTGTGGAAGCATTTATTTTGGCCGTACGAGCCAAAACTGTGAAGTTCTGAAAATTGGGGCTGTGTCTCCTTTTCAGAAAGTTTATTTGATTAACACATTTTTTTATTAAATTTATAAATATTGCATACAAATAATAATGTCTCTTAAATTTTTACAAAAATTTTAAACACTCACTCTGTCTGGCAACCGTTCCAAAGCTACCCAAACCATCCAAAACACCTGAAGGTTCAAGCGTTCTTCTGAAACTTCCCGAAACCCAAGTTTCTGAAAAAGTTTTTTCGCATCATCAGTGCATAATGTTGATCAGCAAAATGGATAATGCTTTCTTATGCCTTGGTTATCTTGCAGCCTTCGACGCTCAGCTGCTTAGGCCGTGATAGACCTGCACATCCAGAATGGGCACCTACAGCAGCAGAACAGGGAACTGCAAGTCTGTTGGGCAGGTGCTCGGGCACGTGGTGTCTTTCAAGCACCAGGGAGAGCAGGCGAGGCCCGGGGAAGAGGCGACGCCCCAGGAACCGGCCAGGCCTGAACCACTTGAGCTGTTTCTGATGCCTCTCCGCAACATGGAACAGCTTAGTGCTGCAGAAGCGCAGCTGAAGAACTTCACCAACAGGACACTGCCGGTATTTATGTGTCCTCTTTTTCACAATATTTATTTATTTATTTATTTATTTACCCTCAAGGCCCCGAAGGGCATTACAGAGGGGAGTGGGGGGGGGGGGGGGGGGGGGGGGGGGATTAGGTGACAGGGTACAGTTGTTGATACATGAAATATGATACAGTAATTAATGCACGCTTGCTTAGACACTTCAAAAATATTTACACAATGTTATAACAGTAATAACAACTAGAAAATGGTTAATGAAAACTAACAAACAAGGCATTTTTAAAATCAATAATATTGGTTATGGAGGCTATGTCAGCGGAAAGGCGATTCCAATCGGAGCTAGTACGAGGAACGAAGGAGTTATAATAAGTGTTAGTTTTGTAATTGGGGATACCGACTTTGTACTGGTGATCTACGCGGGATGAAACATAAGTAGGTGGCGTTAGAAGTTCATGGCGCATGAAAGGGTTATTATGGTAAATCTTGTGAAATAAAGTGAGGCGAAAAATGCGTCTACGGTTCATTAGTGTGGGTAAACCAAGGGTATTTTTCATTGAAGTAACACTGGATGTACGATGGTAATTACAGAGTATGAAACGTGCTGCACGATTTTGAACCGATTCCAATGTTTCAATGATAGTATTATGACCGGGGTCCCAGATAGAACATGCATATTCAAGTTTAGTACGTACTAAAGTAGTATATAAAAGGAGTTTTAGTGACCCTGGTGACTGTGAAAAATTTCGTTTGAGATATCCAAGCATGCGATTGGCGTTGTTAGTTACGTAGTTAGTGTGAGTTACCCAGGAAAGATCAGAAGTTATGTAAACACCTAAGTATTTGTAAGAGGACACAGACTGCAGCGGAGTGTCGTCAATGTAGTAATTCGAGCATATGTTAGTATGACGGGAAACTCTCATGGATTTACATTTATTAAGATTGAGTTGCATCAACCACTTGTCGCACCAGTCAGATACAGAGTTAAGATCAGATTGGAGAACAGAGGTGTCAGAGTTATTTGTTATTTCTCTATATAGTACACAATCGTCAGCAAATAAACTAATATTAGAGGAGACACATTCAGAGAGATCATTAATGTAGATGAGGAAAAGTAGCGGTCCTAAAACAGAACCCTGGGGAACTCCAGATCCTACGGGAGTCAGTGAAGAGTTAGTACCATTGGCATGCACAAATTGAGAACGGTTGGTTAAAAACGATTCTATCCAGCGTAGCACGTTCGGATCAATATTGAGGTTGCTAAGTTTTAATAGGAGTAGCCGGTGAGAAACTTTATCGAAGGCCTTAGAGAAATCAAGGAAAACGCAGTCTATCTGGGAGCCACGGTCAAGGACAGAATGAAGCTTATTAGTGAAAAGTAGAAGCTGTGTTTCGCAGGAAAATGATTTGCGGAAGCCGTGTTGAGTAGGGTGAAAAAAAGAATTCGATTCTAGGAAACATGCGAGGTTTGAATATATGATATGTTCGAGTATCTTACAAGGAATGGATGTTAGAGAAATTGGCCGGAAGTTATTCGGTGAGGAGTGGTTGCCACTTTTATGAATTGGAGTCACCTTTCCAACTTTCCAGTCTTCGGGAAGGCAGCCTTCCTCCAATGATTGCTTAAAGATCATTGATAGTATAGCTGATGAATACGATTTCGTGTTCTTTAAGAATTTAGAGTTAATATTGTCAATACCGGATGAAGAGGAGAGCTTCAGGTTATTAATTATTGCAGCTATACCGTCGTATGATATTAATATTGGATTCATTGGAAAAAAGTCAGGGCAATTAAAGTTGGGGTACACAGAAACATCGGTGCAAGAAAAAGATTGAATAAATATATCGTTTAGCAATGATGCACACTCATCATGGCCTACTGGTTCCCCATCTGTGTTTGTAAGCTTCAGGTCACCGTGGTTATCATTAGGTTTGATTAAGTTCCAAAAGTGGCGAACATTTGTAGATAAAATTGTGGGCAACGTGTTAGTAAAAAAATTGCGTTTTACTTCTAATACTGCACGTTTATATTCCTGCTCGGCGTAATGATAGGCGTTAAAATGACTCTCTAGTTTTGAAAGTTTGGCTACACGAAAGAGGCGTTTCTTTTTATTTGAAAGTCGTTTAAGTCTGGTGTTGTACCAAGGGGAATTACTTTTGGATGATAATGTGCGAACAGGAATATATGTGCTTATTAGATAGTTCACTTTGTTTCGGAACAGACACCAATTTTCATCTACAGACCGTTCAAAAAAATTTTCCACAAAATAACTCAGAAATTCACACAATTCAATATTTATAGCCGTAAAATTAGCTTTTCCGTAATCACGAATCGTTTTAACTATTTTCGGGGAATGACTTGTGGTTATATTTAAGGTGAAATGCAGCAATAAATGATCACTAAAACCAGGCAGATAGGTAATAGGAGAAACAAGGTCGGCGAAGGTTGACAATACAAGATCTAGCACTGAGGCACAGGAGGGCGTAATTCTGGTGGGGCGAGACACTAGCTGAGAGAAATTGTAGTCCGAACATAAATTGAGGAATTTGTCACTGTCAGACGAAAAAGGACTTGAGTAAGCTGTTTCCGCCGACCACACAATATTTGGATAGTTAAAATCACCCAGAAGGATGACGTTTGGTGTGGGAGATCGCAAAGTCACTGTACTGATTACGTCATGAAGTTTGTTCAGAAAGCTATCGTCACTTGAGGGAGGGCGGTAACAGGCACCCAAGATATATTTTTTGTGATTCACGGAAAGGCAAACAAAGACTGTTTCGAGATCACTTGCAACATTCAAATGAAGGGAATCTATGTGTTCGGCGACTGCAATCAACACACCTCCGCCTTGGCGAGCTTCCCTATCAGTGCGATAAATTTTGAACCGTTTGTTAGTAGTTAGGATTTCGTTATCATGAATTTTGCTAGAGAGCCACGTTTCTGTCAAAACTACAACATCAGCCCCGGTGGAGTCAATGGCAGAGCATAGATCATCGCGATTTCGCATGACACTTCGGATATTAGTAAACAGAACAGTAATTATTTCGGGCGCGAAAGAAGAACCACTACCCCTCGCACTATGTTAGGGCAAGGCAGATCGGGCAGATGCTGCGCGGGCATTTAAGTTTGGTGCCACGTTATTTTGCAACGATGAGGAAGGTTGATTATTATCGCCTCCAGGGCTTCTTGTATTTGAATTGCTCTTGCCCGGCCTTCTGTCATTTCCAACTTCATACACCCTGTCGTTCGCATTTTCATACATGAAACATTTATTGTTCACGTAAAGCTTATTGTAGCGCAGTTGGAAGACGCTCTTTTGTAATTTTCCAAAATCAAAAAGTTTCTGTCTTGCTAGGCGCGTAGCCGGAGAAAAATCTTCATTAGCCGTTATGCCGCAGGCTTTAAGCTTAGGTCGTGATTGCAAAATTGTTTGTTTTGTTTTGAAAGAAGAGAACTTGACAATCAGTGGCCTGCATCCTCCGACTGCGTGCGAGCCAAGCCTGTGAGCACGTTCAACGCATTCGTCAGAAACTTGCAGACTAAGTGAAGTAGATAACCTATCTAATATTTTTACTTTAGACTGTTCCCAAGATTCAGAGGTGGAATCTTCAATACCGTGAAAGATAATATTGCTCCTTCTTGAGCGGTCCTCAATATCGTTCAGGCGCTCGTGCAGTCTTTGGTTGTCCTTAATAACAGACTGCATTAATCCCTCGGCAGCCAAGAGTTCTTCCCGGGTTGCATCGAAAGTTGCTACTTTGCACTCAACGCCTTCGAGCCGATTTTGGATGTCGGTAACCTTTAGTTCGACGGATTCTTGCTTACTTTTTAACTCGTTAATAGACTTAATTAGGCTAGCTTGGCCTTGGTCAATCTTGACCTGTAGTAAAATAGATAAATGGGCTAGTTGGTACATCATTGAATGGAAAGCGCCGAATAAACAAGGACCAAGAAGGGGACAGAGACGAAGCGCTTCTCACAACTGAAGGTTTATTGAAAACAACATTGACTATTAATACCGTCTATCAGGGTGTTGGCTCAAAAAGAAAAACTCTTTATCAGTTAAGTGCAGTGACGGCGCACTAATACACAGACTCACCCCTTGCTCTCTTATGCGGAATGCCTCGTGTATTTCTCGCGCTGTTTTGTTTTCGTATCTGCCCAGAACTGTTGTTTTTTCCAATTCCGGGCTACATGGGCACCTATCACAATGCACCGCAAGGTTGCCCGACGGGGACTGTTTGACTGACCAGGCATGTTCTCTGGCCCTTTCATTAATGCAACGCCCCGTTTGGCCGACATACGATTTCCCGCAACAATCTAAAAAAAGTGGCGGCTCATTTTGAAGTGCCAGTGGTGTTTTCAGCGCCGCATAAGCTGTTTCACTTGTGTTCAAAAATAAACAACAAAAAGGGAGAGGGTAAGGTGTGTCAAAGGAAACACGCTAATCAATACGTGGAGTGTGCAACGTCAGTGGTGTATAACATACCATTGAGTTGCGGGAAATCGTATGTCGGCCAAACGGGGCGTTGCATTAATGAAAGGGCCAGAGAACATGCCTGGTCAGTCAAACAGTCCCCGTCGGGCAACCTTGCGGTGCATTGTGATAGGTGCCCATGTAGCCCGGAATTGGAAAAAACAACAGTTCTGGGCAGATACGAAAACAAAACAGCGCGAGAAATACACGAGGCATTCCGCATAAGAGAGCAAGGGGTGAGTCTGTGTATTAGTGCGCCGTCACTGCACTTAACTGATAAAGAGTTTTTCTTTTTGAGCCAACACCCTGATAGACGGTATTAATAGTCAATGTTGTTTTCAATAAACCTTCAGTTGTGAGAAGCGCTTCGTCTCTGTCCCCTTCTTGGTCCTTGTTTATTCGGCGCTTTCCATTCAATCTTGACCGTACGTTCATTTACATCTTGCAAGAGTTTGAACATGTCGTTAAACTGCTTGGCCTGATCGATAGACATAGGTCCCGGATTCGCCTCGACGTCACCGGAGCGTAACAAGAGAAGTTTTAATGTATCAGCGGAATGTAGGACAAGCATCGCATGTGTACACAACCAGTAATACAAAGAGCACAAAGAACAAAAAAAGCGCGATGACCGTGGGCACGGTAACTCGAGAAGCCATAGGTTATTACTTCGTCTAGAGTGTATAGACCTTTTCATTTCAGTAGTTGCTTGACCGGCGGGTAGAGGGCGCTGGCGCACTCGCCGCCATTAGGTTGCTTTAGTTTGGTCGGTTTCGGTTTCAACGTGCACGCGATTGTGATGCTGTTTCATGCCACTTTCGATTAATTTTGCAATATAAATTTCTTGTAGCACACAGCGAATGAAACAATAGTATTGAGCCACTTGGCAAACGACGAAGTGGTTTCGAGCCTAAATTGCGATCTTTTTTTACGAACACTATATGCGTCCGATTCCGTCCATCGTTAATTTCGGCCAGGTTCGGCGGTGAAACAACTGCGCTGATGCACAGGGAAAGTTCCATTGTCCAGGGCCGTACTCGCGGATACTAATTTCCAGAAGAAAAATAAATAAATAAAGAGCAGGACAAGCTCCGCCTGCAGCGTGCGCTCGTTGCCTGCCACCGTGCTTTGGCTGTGCGTGCACCGAGTGGTACGGAAGGTAGATAGCTCGCGCTCAAGTCAGAGCTGCTACTGCTAACCTTATATTCCAACATACTATATTGCATGAGTGCTTAGTGAAAAAGCAGGTCGACAACATGATTAACAATCTGCTGAATCACCAAGAACAGATGAACTGACAAGTTTACTGTTCGATGTTTGGTTTCCGTACACCAACCTAACTGCGAGACTGGAAACGTCTTTTATAATGCCTAGAAAAGTTTTATATAATCACGTAGATAATATAAAAAGTGATATTGTCTCGACCGGTTTTATTTAAGGAAATTAAGCGTCCCAGAAATATTTTGATACACCAGCGTAGGCTGACTAGACAATTTCTTTAACTAAAGTACTCCTTTACAGCATTTCAAAATATTGGCCTTATGAAATAAACTTTTTGTTATATGGACATCTGCTTACGACGTTCTCAAGGTATGAGAATAATGAGATAAGTGAATGCCAGACTTTAAATAAAATCTAATATTCATCTTCTGTAAAATTTGCCAAATGAAATTGAAGAGCGCAAAAGAAATGATCTCCGATGATTAAAACTTGTTGTTGGCCTAGTTGCTTCATGATGCAGTCTAGAGGTTTTTGCGCGACACAAGGGACGATCACAAGCGAGTAGACACGGACAAGCGCTTGTGATTGTCCGTGTCTACTCGCTTGTGATTGTCCCTTGTGTCGCGCAAAAACCTCTAGACTTCTTCTCCGATGCGTTTGGCTGAAGTCGAACGCCAGGCGCCACCCAATGGACGAAAGCTGTTCACTGATTTGAAACGATGCGCTTTGCAGATTTTGACGTCGCCAGCTACTGAAAATAACTCCCTATTCGCCGTCGACAACCGGCTGTACTCGGGTGATTTTCATGCAGAAGGATTCTTTTCGGCGTCACATTTTGTGAATCATAGGCACAATCAAGCTGTCTGCGACAGTTTCTTACGCGGGGAGTCCAAATATTTGTGTTGAAATAAATTAATTGAATCTGCGTGGTTATATTTAAAAAAGAATGTCTTAAACAATTTAAAGACTATGGACATGGGACCAAGCACGATATTCAATTCCGTGGAATTCATAAATAAACCGATAAAGCGAATGCTTATATCGCACACGCGATTAAGAACGTAAAACAGATATAGGTATGATATTGCGAACAAACAAGTTGCCTAATGTTAAGGTACCGTTATTTCTAGCATAAAAAAATAATTCAAACTAAACGTTTGTTCCCGCGTCTTGTCCACAAGTTCTCTAGTGTAATCAAAACAAACTGTTTTCGATTTGTTGTAACTGCAAAACACCATGCTTTTGGGAAAAACACGTGGCTAATTACGCCGAGTGTTTTTGTTTCCTTCCTTGACGCCAATGCGCACTCATATATATAATAACATTAGGCTTCCTATTGCAAATGTTCCGCCCTTATTAGTAACCAAACCTCAGTTCTCATTAGATATTGGTATTTGAACCCTCGAGGCTCTCTTCAAGTCATATATGTATTCGATGTGCGCAAGTGCTAATGCTGATTCCTGTATCCCGCACGCCGACGGTAAAAAAAATATTCAAAACGTGTTACAAAATCAACTACAGAAGATACGCGCATAATGATGTAGTGGAATTGCATAGTAAGTATAAGTATCTGACGACACTTTACGGAGTAAGGCAAGAGACGCGGCGAAACGCGACGAAAAACACGAATTCAAAGCATCCGCCAAGGCGCGGACGGGAGAGCGGAGCAACAAGTTGAAGCAACCTAATGGCGGCCGCATCACGTGATTCCAAGATGGCAGCGCCCATGCGGCGGAGGGTGAAAAGGTCTATAGAATACTGATATCTTACCTGTACGTAGAACAAGAAAGGGTTCGTCAGCGACATCGCCGCTAACGAGTCACCGTGCCCACTGGCGTAGGCCACACCATGCGCTGCTTTTGTAGCAATTGACGTGGCTGTCGCAGTCGATGGTCGCGCTAGGTGCGGCTGAATCGACGCAGGATTCTCGATGAGGGCGACGTCCTCCAAGGCCGGTGAAGATGGGCACTTCCATAGGATGATTGACGGGCATAAGGCTGCGATTCTTTGTGGTTTAACTTGGGTTATCTGAAGATTTATGCAAATGGGGTTGGAATGTGGACTGAAGCCTTTTACCGTAATATTTCAAATGGATGCCCACCCAAACTATGTTTTAAGCACGGTCGGTGGCAAATTAAAAATGAGTAAGTTACCCTACCTTCATTACGGGCCTTCTGGTATTTATAACAGCAGAGTGCATGCACAGCCAATGCACAATGGAAGGCTATTTATTGTAAGGGGTACCCTTAAACTGAACCGTGCGATAGAATTGTGTCAAGGTGACTCAACACCAGTTGCACGTTTTGCAAGTCAGCTTTAGTAGCCTGCGTAAACTTTTTGCAATTGTTAAACTACGTTTCATAGAGGCTACTGAAGGGAGAAATGATGGACGGTGGCCACCAAAAATTAAATATTTGTGCATCATTACATTTTTGAACAGTTCTTTCCACCCGACGGTCATGTAGACAAGAGGCCTTCATGTGCATCCTCATTGAACGGCATTTTATGTCTTTTTCAACTGCCGCTTCTTGAGATATTTTTAAGTAAAACATTTCACAATGGGGGAAGTAAAATGGCCCACATATTTGCCTTTGGGTGCTTACAATATGTCGGCCTGCAAATAATCATAAATCATGCTGATTTGCTACGACACTTCTGCCCGTTTTATCCTTATAAGTTAAATTCCGCACCTGCAACAACTCTCGCCGTGAGTATGTGTGCGGAGCACGCACAAACCTGCCTGCGTGCTTTTTGTGTTTAATGCTTGCTTGACAGAAGGATCGAGATGCTGTAGTATATATTGGGCTTCTTTTGGTTTTGTTCCTGTTCTCACTTGAGGCTATAATCAAGAGATCTAAATATTTAGGGCAATAAATTCATTTGTGCTTTCGGCATCTGCTACAGAAGTAAAGGTACATGCTTGAAAATAACTTTTAGCCTGGTCTAAAATCGCTTTTGAGCGTGCCCACCATATGCGTATGCCCAAACAAATTTGTAAGGGGTTGCCAGATAAATCTTAATTAATTCCATCTTTACTTTACATTAGTAGTGCATTTCCAAAATAAGATGTTAACCAGTCCTAACCGAAGGTCACCCTATGAGAGGAAATCAAATTTTCCAAGGTGAAAGAGTAACTGTCATTGCATCCGCCACTTTATTTAGGGGGTGTGAGTGCATGCGTAGCTGTGTCTTCAGGCATAGCCTACGGTAGTCGCACAAGCGATTATTACACGAGGCGAGCTTGAGCTGAGTAAGTTTTTTCATTGGCCTACAGGGCCACAACTGAGTCAGCACTAAACAAAAATATGGAAAGGTAACTACTCATACTGTGCTGCTGTTGCCATTTTTTGCAACTATGATGACGGTTTTGGTCAATTCCTGCCTTTTTATGCCTTTTTCAATTCCAGTCTTCGTAAAGTCGTAAAATAGGTGATAAATTTGTAGGGTGACTAGCCGGCAGCTAGACTAAGCTTTAACAAAGTCAAGATGCGCAGGGTCTTGAATGCACTGTTTTGAGAACCACATACATTATTAAAATTACTGAGTGGATGCTGATGGGCAAAGAGGATCCATCAAAACGTTTGCACAATTTGAACGTTGCAACGAATTTGACTGACTAATGAGATTTAGCGGAGTATGGAGGGGAATATTTTAATCTTTCTGGTTTCGTCTAAGACAGGTAGAGATGCCATATATTCTAATATTTTTTATTCTCTCTCTAGTAAATATTGTAACATTTTGATGCATGTATAGTGTGGCTTGCTGCATTTACCTGGGCATTCACATTCTCTTACTTGAGACATGTTCATACCATTGTATCTGCATATAAATAACTTTATTGACATATTGAGAACACATTTTGTCTTTCTAGGAGGAGCAGCTCGTGTCTCTAGGAGACAGCAAGAACCTGCAGAAGGTGGTACGAGAGATGGTGGGACGCCTGTTCTCAAAGCAAGTCCAGGAGCAGTTCTCCGGCCCTTCTGGGCTACCAAGGAAAGTCAAGGTTCAAGGACGCCATGATGTGTAAGGTGGTCATCGGTAATGCATATTCTTTACTAGATATTAAATTGATGGTATCTCTATTGGAGCACAATAGACAAGCACAATCTTTGAAATATGTTGACAATTAAAGGGAAACTGAAAAACTTTTTGACAAAAAAACGAGTTATAGGTGACTTCTGGCGTATTTTTGTCCTGTGAATCTGAATATCGCTTTCGTTTTCCCCAAAGGTGTAGCTAGACGCGAGAAAACACGAAAAACCTCAGAGCAGTCGTGACGTCGTACTAGGATCTTTGGGGCGCCAAGCACGTGTCGCTCGTGTGGGCGGCGCGTGCAATTGCAAGCTTGCCAGTTGTATTTTTTTCGACACTGACGCCAGTTGTGGCGTCTATTTCTGACCTTTTTAAGAATAGCAAGAGTTAACG